ACTGTAGCTCATTGGCTTGCTGTGGTCACCCGGCACGTTCCTGTGCTTCAACGGCTCCCTGGTGCCCGGTTCACGGCCCTGTGTCACGGCTCTGTGGTCACGGCTCCATGTGGGTCACGGACTGCCGCTTGTCTCGAGTCGTTCCGATCGCTCGTCATCGATCGCTCATTTCGTACGTTGCTACATCACTTAAATGATTCCAACATCTCGCTATAATTAGCAAATGTCTTGACCTTATCTTTGTCAATATTATAGGTGCACGGTGATCATCTACAGTCTAATACACCCGTCAGCATGAATACTCTTGATAGGAACCCTAGCTTACTGTCGGAGAAAACCCGTATGTCGCATAAACCTACGCACATATTCTCATGTTTTTGTAATTAACATGTAATGTTAAAAAGCGGGATAAACTATAGAAACAATATTTAAAGGACCTTAACGCGTACTTTTATAAAACGCATACCTTTAGGAGCCTCCGCGCTACCGGAACACTCCTGGAATCGGGCCATCCAATCCATCCCGTCCACGCTAGCACCTGCACGCGACAAAAGCTGAAAGAGTTTCCCTCGGCAGTAGCCACGCTCGACCGAGCTTCGCAATCGCGGCGCCGCGCGACACTCATTGACCGTAGCCAAGCCGTCCACGTCGCAAATAGTCTTCAGCCTGAAATATTTCTATTGTATATTATTACACAGATATGAATAACGTTCATCACCTTTAACTCGGCGACTCGCCACGCAACGTCCCTACGCACGGGCACACACACGAATTGCAGGGGAGGCAAACAAACAAACAAACAAACAAACACAACGAGACACATTCGTAAGCACACATTCCTCTCTCTTTATTGGCTGCTCTGCTTCTCGCTTCACACACACACGCACACGACACCACACACACACATACACACAGCACACACGCACAAGGCGCAGCACACACACCATCACACACACACACACACACACACCACACACACATGCACACACAAGGGATGTATTAAACTTCGATTTTCTACTACCCCTATTACGGTACTACAGGGGCGCGGCGCCAGGTATTTTCTTTAGGGTGGGCGAAAGCAGGAGCGTGTTACAGCCGGCACGCCGCAAGGGGCGGGGTCTGGGGGGCTCTCCCCACGGAAATTTCGCAAATGACCCCCTCAGATGGCTGTTTTCTGCCGAGCCAGGGGGGGTCCGGACCCCCGGGACCCCCCCTGTACACGCCCCTGGAAACCTGTCTCCAGACTGATTTTAAAAACCCCGCGACTGTTGCGCTCTGCACTGACGGCAGTTGGGCGCCTAGGGGGCGATTCAATGATACATTCAAGCTGCGCTACGCCAAAATTACTTGCCCGCCCCGTAATCCTTCGTGTACCAATCGACGTTGCTTAGTTGCGCACTTGCGGAATAACACAAGCTATTTTAGCTAAATTTTCGTATAATTTCTCAACGTCACTTGCATTAAGGCGGAGCCGTTTTTTTTAGCGTGCGATTTCATCAAGCTAATAAATTTACCCGTAAACCTTTGCTGCCGATATGTTTACCACGAGCTGACGCAGGTGCCGTACACACCACTCGAAATATCTTCCGCAGCGTGTTTCCATCTACCACAGCATGCCATTATTTCTATTGCGAAAACATTATGAAGTACTACTCAACTAAAAATAAATAAATAATTACATACATCACACAGACAGCGGCGCCTTTGACGCTCTTTGTCAGTAGCTTGCGGCATGTTTTTCGTTTAAGCGAGTTCGTAGTTAGGCGTGTACGTGCACACAGCGCCACGTTACTGCATACGACCATCCGATCAGGCCGATACAGGCCTGACACAACCTACTACAACCATGCCACCGTTGACCTGTCTTATGGAAAGATCTTCGATGAGCTATACCCGCATACAAGATCCCAGTGTTATCACCTACGCAGTGGAAGTGGTAAAGTCATTGGTATTGCCCAATCTCCCAAATAAAATTCATAAATGTGCATCTCATTGTTCTGCAGATCCCGATTGCGTCATAATTGGTTTCGACAACTCGATTAGCACATGCTATATCTGTCACGTGGCTGTGCACGCTACAAACACTTTTTTAGCGGATCAGGAGTATTTGTGTGCGATAAATTAAGGCGCAAAATAGATCATTTATAGTAAGTCTAAATGCTCTTCGCATTGTCTTCTATTGTGACAGTTATATTGACTATAGACACCCTGATTACTAAAGTGTGTAAAATCATTGATGAGAAAGTGGTTCAACGAACAGCTAGATTATCTTGATTTAATTTCTACGTGTGCTAATTTCAGAGTGTCATTCGTGTTAATTTCTAACATGCATCATCTAATGCTCTTAAACAAAAACTCAATTTTTTGGCTAAACCTAGTAACTAGCTATATCTAGTAATCAAGACTGATATTTTCTGGCATAATCTAATTTATTTTAATCTAATCTAATCTAATCGAAGATCATATCCAATCCAATATCCAATCCAATCCAATCCAACACAATCCAATCCAACACAATCCAATCCAACACAATCCAATCCAACACAATCCAATCCAACACAATCCAATCTGCTTTATTCGAATATAATTATCACATGATGTGTAGGCCTACACATTATTAGAACTGCTCTACATTTGCAGGTAGAGCAGGTATCTCCTGTGTAGTACAGAAGGTACAATCCATGTAGTTAAATTCCAGTTTAATTGTCGTAGTGAACTATAAGAAATGTCGTGCACTCTCGAACACTTTAAAATCAATGCCGGGAGTAATCAACTCACAGTTTAAGATATATACGCTGAAAATATAATAGTCTTGAGCTTTTCCGTGTGAATGTGCGTGCGGGAGTGCTTGTGCGTGCGTGTGTGTTTGTGCGTGCGTGTGTGCTTGTGCGTGCGTGTGTGTGCGTGCGTGCTTGCGTGTACGTGGTTACGTACGTACGTGCGTACTTGATTGCGGTTCTGCGTGTAATAACTAAAACGCCGAGGGTGTGCTAACGTGTAAGAGCATTCACGCCATAAATTATTTCCATTTCCATTAATTTCTACGTGTGCTAATTTCAGAGTGTCATTCGTGTTAATTTCTAACATGCATCATCTAATTGCTCTTAAACAAAAACTCAATTTTTTGGCTAAACCTAGTAACTAGCTATATCTAGTAATCAAGACTGATGTTACGCGTGTGCTAACGTGTAAGAGCATTCACGCCATAAATTATTTCCAAGAATGCAAAATAATATTTTGAATGAATCCATGTATATCGTGGCGCATTGCCGACGTCGGCCAGACAAAGGTACCGTCTTAATTATATATCTACGTTATAGATTTTAAAACATCGCACTTGTACGTGGTTACCATTGTATGTCATAATCCATTGTAATCTGGTTTAGAAAATCAATAAAATTGGATTCCTCAGCATAAAATTGTTTAGTAAATCTATTTACAGTCGAAGATAGAATTTATTCCCTACGTACATCACGATGTACTCTCGCATGTGCATCTAGTTATTCTACGGCAACACTCAAAATAATTCGTCTGCTACAAGTGGAATCACAATCAATATTAAGCAAGCTAGATCGTATTTAAAAAATAATAGATCCTTCCAATTAACGAAAACTCTGAACCAAAAATGTCTGTCTGATCGAGCGAGATACCCACGCCTTTGTGTATTATGGTAGATATTAGCTACGTCTACACGACGAACCTTAACTCGAGTTAAGCTAACT